TTTTTTTACCGAGAATCGATTCCAACCATATAAACGAGAACCAATGCACTTGTTTGGTCATAAGAGAGTGGGCTGACCACTATTTCATATTTCACATATTTCACCCGAAAACTGTTATTTTCTTAATGTTCCAAAAGAACTTAATATATTATTTGATAGATAAATGATGCGTTTTCATTGACAGTCAGTATCTTTATATTGTCCTCTCTAAAATCTTGTGGTTTGGTTTAATGAAGCTGTTTTCCATCTATTTATTTTCAACACGGCGATCTTTTTGCATTTTCCATATATTTTCTGGCAAGACTGTACAAGAACTGTACATATCTGGAAAATTCCTTATGTAAGAATTTGTTGATTGCAGTCATTCCCTTACTTGCAGGGGTTGGATGCCCTTGATGGTGATCAATACAATTATGAATACAACATCTGGGGAGATGGAGAGGGAATAGATGTATATGTGGCAGACACAGGCATCAATCCAAACCATGAAGATTTCTCGGGGAGAGTTACCGTTGGTGAGTTACAGTCTGATTAGCTGCAGCGTTGCAGCAAAAGAACACCTGAGTAGCAAAAGGGGGCCAAAAAGGGAGCACGGCGGTCTTACGTTCAACGACAGCTAATGCAAGCATTACTAGGATTTAAAAAGAAAACGGCATCCTCAGAGAGTGAATATATCTCCCCATTGTGAAGATTGGGAAATCAGGATTCTCTTAATGTTGCATTGAAATGGGGATGTTGTACATGTCTCTTCGGCAATATGATAGCTCCTCATAAAATATAGTTAAAATACAACTGCTATTATACATCTCAAATGTGCGTTTTTATAGTGCAAGATAGTTATATTTGGACCAATTTTGTACCATTGCTCAGTTTACGGAATATTCAACCGAAATGCGACACCGTCATGCTCCTTGCTAGTAAAGTCAAATGAAAGAAGTTCAACATTGATCAGTTTAAGGTTTACCACATGAAAATGGTTGATTTATTTTATCAATTATTTTTTTCAGGCTGGCCGACATCTACAAGTGTTGACGACGATGGTCATGGTACCCACGTGGCCAGTATCATCGGGGGAACCAATTCTGGCGTGGCAAAGAGTGCTAACATCATTTCCCTGAAGATTTGTTCAAATTATGGATGCCCTCTTTCCGGTATATTGAATGCTTGTCTGTGGGCAAAACAAAGAGTGCAAAGCTCTGGGCGCCTCTCCGTTATTAACTTCAGTATTGGTGCGCCGTTCATCAGGTCTCTGAACGACGCAGTCGATGATCTACTCGCAGCGGGAATCCCCGCAATTGTTTCAGCAGGTAATGCCAATGACAACGCTTGCGATTACTCTCCAGCCAGCACGGCCAATGCCCTCACTGTCGGAGCGTTTAATGAGGGCTTTGAAAAGGCTAGTTTTAGTAACCATGGATCTTGCGTAGATCTTTACGCCCCGGGTGAGGGTATCGAAGCTGCTGACTTCTCTGGAAACGATAAATATACTATAATGAGCGGCACCTCCATGGCAGCTCCATTTGTGACCGGTGCCGTGGCTGCCTGGTTGCAGGTCCTCAGAGATGACGGGACTATCAGCTCACCCTCTGCCCAGGTTGTCAACTACGCCAATATACACATCATACAGTACGCATTGCCTGGAAAACTTACGGGTGTCAGTGAAGCCAATTTGGCTTTGTCTACTCCATGCTTGGTTATTTGAGTCCTTTCCACTTCAGTGGAAATAACGTCCTAATGTACTAGTTGTACTCCAATTGGCTAATTATGCTTACACAGCAGATTTCCCTGAATAAATTTATCACTGCAGAACAAATGTTTCTTCTTCCTTTTCTTAATTTTTTTAATCATAGACTACCTTTTTAAAGGCTTTTTAAAATCCAAACCATTCGTTCATCGAATCCTACTAATTTTTTTATTTGAAGGAGGGGGTGAGTGGGGCGCGAGCCTGAATACTTCGACTGCTTTATGTCTAGCGTATACACGCAGTGACAGTGAAACCCATTACGGGATAAATCGAAAATTTCTTCAGAAATACAAAATATCTTCATAAACAAACGACAGGTAATGAGGTACCACCAAGGTTATATCACTGAAAAGTATTGAGAAAATTCCGAGAACTCTTTATGCACATCATGTTGAAAAGGCTTGGCACGTGTTTTAACTCATCTCGTTTTCTCTCCTAAGGAAAGTGTTCAATGCTCATTTTGAATTTAAAATACAGTTAAATACCTCTTATTTTCTTTTATCAACAAGACACATTGTGGGACGTGTAACTCTTCTAAAGACAATAATTAGGAAAATATGGAGATCCAAAATATCGCTTTCAATGGTTGTCGCATGATTCAAAATAGGCAATGTATTTTTGTACGCTTCACTGGCGAATTCAATTAATGAACTAATGTCACAATGACATCGAAAAGATTATCAAAAGTTATTAAAACACGATTTTAATTCTTATTTTCATTTATCAGTCAGCAAAATAGGAAAAATCTGATGAATTATGAATTGGAAAAAATATTCCATGTTAAATGTCAAGTCTGTAAATGAAAGACACAACACCGCCAAAAGAACATTTTTTGGTGAAATGCAAGTACCTTCTCTCGGTATGTACATCAAATAATTAACTGCCAGCCTCTCGAGATATATGCTTCGAACATCTCGTTCTGGCATATAACGCTCGTGACAGTAATTTAACTCACACGTGAAAGATGTACTAAGGTATATGTGTTTGTCATATAACACGAATAAATCATAATACATAAATTACGATTATTCATAATAAGTTCTGCTGGAACCTGAGGTTTTAGTTACATTCTGAATTAATGGCCTGCCTCAAACATGTTCCAAAGGTGGCTTAGCTACGGGTTTGATATGGGAATGAAATGTATTTCCAGGAAATGTGTTCATATTCCGTTAACTCTGGCTATATGCACTGCCAATTACCATGGTCTTTATAATCAATTAGACCTTCTTGGAATTGATTGCCTGCCCCAAATATGCTCCATATAATAGGCTGCCAAGCTACGGGTCTGATCAGTGATATGGGCAGCAAACGTGATGTGAACATATATCATATTTTAATGTTAGTTGAAAATATACCAGAGCGTTGCCACGGCACGACGCAGTTCAAAGCTCTTAGGAGCATCATTTGGTAAGTGTCATTAGTCTTCACGAATGTTATTGGTGTGCCAGGAAAGGTAGTCCAAGAAATAGAAGTCCAGGGTCCCTTTATGATTAGTACAAGCTAAGATTTGTCATAGTATTGGGGTTAGTATATCGGATGGAATGCACCTGTACTAAGTAACGGAAAACGGACTACGTTTCCAAGCGGACTACCATCACTGTCACACCTGAATGGTAGTCTGCTAAGAAAATTAGCGCACATGTTTTAATGATAGTTAAAATTTGCAATATTTGGGGATTCGGTATAGCTTTCCAGGACGTGGCACTGCCAGACGCCTTTGGTACGTACACGAGTTTGTTACCGGTATTTTTTCGGCACATTTCCCTTCCCGTAGATGACGTCAGTCACTCACGTACAGTAGATCTCGCTCTGTTTCATCACCGCGTCTTACTGATAGTCATACCGAATTCACATTGAATTAGGAATGCCTTTTTCTCCATTGTTGATTTTCCAGCATCGAGCTATTAAAATGAATTCATCAATTAATCGACAAAGATGTCTCAATCGGAGTATTTAGCAATCGTTTTAAAATGGCCGTTTTCAATTGTTAACACAAAGCACAAATATGCCAATATCTAATCACAACAGCGGTAAGAAGTGCGTCTGACGTTATTCTTTATAAATAAATCTATAATTATTTTGCACCAGTCCACAGTGACATTTTTGGAACTACTGTCTTCACACGTCCAAGACCCATTTTGGTTTGCTCACGAGACTGACTTGGTACGCTTATTGCTGCTTTACCTATACGATGTTTACTTGACTTGTGGTTATCTTAGTTTTTCTTGTGACGTAAATGACAGTGACTGAGATGAAACGAACCATGACAAATATACACAAACACGAGAGGAAGATTTGCGACGAGAGAGTGAGAGAGTGAGGAAAGAAACCTAAACACAGATATATGCATTTTGCAGCTACATGGCTAAATGTTGACTTCTCTTGTTTACTAAAGATCTTCCTTTTCCCAAGAACGTGAATTGCTTTTCTGAACTGCTTGCAACTACTATAACATCGTGCACGCTTCACCCGCTTCGTGCTCACCCCCCATCCCCACACTGATTTATATGTAGACTTAATTAAGTAGGTGGATTTCATAAAAATATCTACATAATGAAAAATTGGGCAGCTCTTATATTCATTTAAACTTGAGTATTCGTAACGCACTGCTACATAAAGGAAAGCTGGTCACGCGTAACAATTTCCATCGCACACGAAGATTTGGATAGCTTTCCCTCTTCTATCAGCTCATAAGTCCCCAGCATTATTATGTGTTGTTCGCCAAGTTTGATGTGCATGATATCTCCGTATGTATCATACCATGGAAGAAGATCTGTCGGTTGTCGTCTTTTACCGCTGATCATCAGCTGAGGGAGACATCCCACCACGAGGAAACAGAAAGGTCCGAGCGGCCAGTTCACCCGAGGATTCCTCGACGACAACATCCACAGACTTAACAACAAACTACAATTAAGATAATTAATTGTATTTATGTAGGAAATGGTTTGTTTTTAGTGGTGGTAATAGCTTTGTTGGTAATCCATCTACGCTTTGTTTATAGGAAGTAGTCTGGGTTTAGGTCTTGTGTCTGCACATTTTGATCTTAAGTAGTTGACCAAGGCAAGGTGATAACAGATGTCCAGGGTCAAATTGTCTTAGCTGCTGTGTATCTAGGCACACAGTTAATTTTATATGAGTTTTAGGAAACTACTTCTTGCGAGCTGCATTAGCGAGAAGTCATTCAGCCTTTTAGCTGCGATGATATGTACACGCAATTTCAGCAGCTTCACAGTATTATAATTTCTTGCGTTTCTTTATTTTAATTTTACATTGGTTACCAGCCATCAACTTTTGTGATTTCAAGATTTGGGGACGGCCAGTTTCTTGATACTTGGTGACTGTATTTTCTTCGGATATTATTCTGTTTTTCCAAGCCACCAGTTTTGTTATCAAGTTTCGGCGACGGCTGTTTCCTTTTATTTGGGAGACTTCAACTTCAAGTTCTTGGATCATACACAGGCCAGTAATTTTATATTATCTTCATTTCCCCCTTATTCACGTGTTCTAATGATNAAATACTATCACGAATATCAAAACTGTCGGAAAACCAAGGGTTTGGAAAAACTCAGAGGAACTCTGTACGGCATTGGCCATTTTGGATTCCACAGTAACAGCAGCTTCTCCAGTTTTTGTAAGAGCTAGAATTGCATAAGCGGTATACCGCTGTAAGACATTATACATGTATACCATACGAAACAAGATCTATTCCTGACATCTTTATGTGCAATGTATACGTGTGTACGTGCAGGTATTACTGCAGAGGCGTATTATGCAACCATGTGTTTAACATGAAGAGATGGCGAGATTCCACACGAAAGTTCAAGGAATGATTTTAAAAACAGGCGCAAAAGTTATCCGTCAATTCAACCCAAGTTTTAACAAAATACTACTTGCTCAAATCTAACTACGATCTTGAGAGCATGCATATGTATTTACATATCTTATACCAGAAACCAGCTAAGTTATGACAATAACATAAATAAAATCGTGATGAATATCGTGTATGCATTCAGATGTCTTAATGCAGTTCTCATAAATATCCCGGATGAGTAGAAGCCCTTTCTGATACAAGATGTTCAAACCGAAAACCAAGTGATAGGGTCTTGATTTTTGAACAGAAGAGCACTTGAATCTCATTCACTGCCCAAACAAAACACCTTTTAAAACCTTTCATTTATTGACAAAATGTTACCGAAATGTTACCCTCATCTGTGATCACATTTTCGTGACGAAAGGTCATCTTTTAACTTCCATTATGTAAAATGTCCTTTCACCCCTCGAAAACACCGTCATTTACATTTTCATGAACTTTTATTTTTCAAGAGTTCAGCTATCACTTTTCATGTTGTAAAAGACCGCTTCATATTCCAGCTTTTGTTAACTGGAAAGATCTACATTCACATTTTGTTTATCTTTTTATTCTCTTTAAGTTAACAACTCATTTTATCATATCGATAGGGCGGTATTGTGTACATATATTTTTATATAACATATCTGATTTCCATATCTAACAATCAGGGCAAGATACAAAAAAGCGAATTCTTTGCAATTTGTTTGCGCAAAGATTTATTTTTTCTTTTGCATTTCGCCTAGGATTTTCAGAGCTACATTGAATGTGGCGATTTGGAGTAAAAGTTTAGTTTATCGCTTCAGTCCGTGTATTTAATTCTAGCGCCTAACTGCCCACACATTGTAATCGTGTGGCGAGAAAATGATCGCGTTCAGACCCTCCATTCCATTGGGTGGGTTTTCCCCCTCCGGTACCTTGAAGGTGAAATTCTGAAGCAACGTGCTGAAGAAAATGAACGATTCCATTTCAGCCAGTCCCTTACCAAGACAAACACGAGGCCCTGGAATACAAATAACCGATAACAATGAGAAAATAAATAAATTTATATCTATATATAATAGATCAGCTGGTGTCTCCTCTTCACGTTTTTCTCCTAAACTAGAAATATCTGTTCACAACTGACAGGTGTTAGCAATACTTTAGGGCAGTGGGAAGATAGTGGCCGTAGTTTGAATTTGGTTTTAACTGTTAAAAGTATTTTTGTAGGCATTTTCTAGCCTTCGACAATTTCCTTAAAGCTTTGCCATGTGTGACAGGAATCATATATTTTCAATATCATAACAAATATCAGGATTAGCTGGCCGAGTGGCAACGTAATTTGCTGCCAACGATTCCCACTCAGTCCAGTTTCTTTTTCTTTCATTTATTTTTTTTTTCATTATTATATATACTAATATCATATCATGGTTCAAAGATTAATGTGAAAGGTATCAGATAGTATATTATTTGCATAAAGTAGGTCTTGGGTATTTCTTATTGGATAGGATTGGAGCAATTCTGATTTTCCTAACAGAGACAAGGTTTAGTTGTTTATACAGATATAAATAAAGAAATTTACTAATGTGCTGCTGCACGGTAAATATGTAGGTGTAATGTAAAGTAACGTACCAATGGAAAACGGTATCATTTTGTCCGACTTGATCACTTTACCATCACCATCCAGCCATCTTTCTGGTTTGAACTTGTAAGGATCCTCGAAGTTATTCTTATCGTGAAGAACCCGGTACAAATCTCCCAGTATTATGGTGCCCTTGGGAATAGTGTATCCAGCCAAAGTTGTAGCTTCACTGGTGGCATGGGGACCATCCATGGGAACTGATGACATGAAATGAAAGATTATTCGTTCTTGAAAGGATTCGTTTGAATGGAAGCATTGGCCCAAGCATGAAACACTCAATATAACAGAGTTTCTCTGCTGGTTAGACGGGCATTTGTCAAAAGTTTTGACATATCATTCCACACATTTTCTATTATGTTTGCATCCGGACTCTAGGCAGGCCACATTACCCTGCGAATGTCCTGTTGGTCAAACCAATCATCAACTGCTCTGGGCCTTTTCATCGGACTTTTTCAAAATGGCGGGTCCCTAAATTGGTAAGAGACAGTTGGGTGACAGTTTGGGACATTTTTTGGGAATTTTAACGTGATGTTTGCACATGATTTATGTTTTTCTGGTTAGTTAAGCACGTGCACCATTACAATACATCATTGTGGTATTACATGAATCAATCCTTTAGATGAAAAACATCGTTTCAAATAGACAGCTTTTCATCGGACTTTTTCAAAATGGCGGGTCCCTAAATTGGTAAGAGACAGTTGGGTGACAGTTTGGGACATTTTTTGGTAATTTTAACGTGATGTATGCACATAATTTATGTTTTTCTGGTTAGTTAAGCACGTGCACCATTACAATACNTTTTCATATAAATATAAATAAAACAAAATTTTTTTAATATTTAAAAAAATTAACCTTCAGTAAATTTCTTTAACAAAACATAGCTCTCTGTGAAAACATCAATTGTAAAAATTGTTACTTAATTTAATCAAAAAGTTATAAGAGAAGGAGTAGAAACGGGACATCAATTATATTTTGATGACAGGGAACTCTCTCGGATTTTTTTTTTCAATTTTTTTGTTGCAATATGATGTTTGAAGAGTTTTGTTTAGGATATGGAGTTATATTTTGTAATGAATTTCGTACTTACTCATTTCAGGTTGAAGAGAATGCAGGTGAAAGATCTTTAGTTTTGCTGGTAGATGTAGCCATTATTGAACAGTCAAAATGATTGTTTCCAGCAGCAACTTGATGAGGCAGAAGGCTCTGTTTTCTTACCACCACTAACATTAAACTACAGTGCACAAGAGGTAACCATCCATGGTTTTGGGTATAATTTCAGTCAAGCTTTCAAGTACCTTAATACATAATCTACAGTTACCAGTTTCCCTATAACAGAGGTTGTGATTTATTATTTGTTAAGATTTTAGGGAATGTATGTGTGTAAAGTTTTTTTATGTATAACTATTAAAAACTATTTTTCTAGGCTTGTTCAACATGACTGAGAAATAACCATTTTGCCATTCCTTGATCTGCAATTAATATAACAGAAGTGCCTTTCATCTCAAAATGCTGTGTGTCAATGAGCACCATCACAACTTTGATGAACTTTTAAGGGATAAAAAATATTTTTGAGCTGGCTGTGCTGACTGTTGCTTATGATAATATTTATTGGTAATCAGTGTACTTAAATTTGTCATATTATCTTAGGTTTGAACCACCAAAAGAAAGGTGTATGCAGTCAAAAAGTACATTTTTTTTAGTTTAATATGCAAGTTTTTGCACACATGACATGGTTTGTAGACAAAAGTGCTATTTATTAAAGATTAATTAATTCAGATGCAAATATGAACTGGTACTGGAACGCAGGTAAATTTGTAAAATTTAATTTTTGGCTGAAATTGAAGAGTGCTCCAAGTTTTGATAGAGAATTTAGTGTTCATTGGCTAACTGTCTAAAGTATGAAATAAAATAATTACCACATCAAAATAAAAACTAACCATTTTTGCCACATTCATGTATTTTTGCATTGCTTAAATCAATGTTGGGTGTAACAATATTGACATATTTTCATTGCTGGTACTTTGTTTTAGATGTTAATGTTATACAAGTTGCTCAAATGTTAAAATAAAGCAATATCAATCGATAAAAATTTCTTTCATTTTTTCTTCTAATGAATTTAAACTATCAGTTTACTATAAGTTGGCCTCATGTAATAGAAGAAGATATAAACAAAAGTATGTTATAATGAAATTTTATTTAGAATCATACGAAGTGCAATCACTTATTTTCATTTCCCCAATTTACCTGTGCAAGCTTTTCTCTACCTGGTATATAAGAAATGTGTAAAAAAAAAAAAAAGAAAGAAAGAAACGAGACTGGCATACGGAAATTGCAAGTTCTACTGTTTTGTGCACACGGCTGTGAATTGAATGTGTTATTCCTAGATGAAGGTAAATTTCCTTTACACGACAAAAAGAATTTAAAATAAAAATGAGACTTCTACAGGTGCTACATTTAGCGTTGAAGGTGGGTTTGTGAAATTGTTCTCATACATTCTTGATGTGAAACTAATTTTTGTATAACTGATCGGCTCTAGATCAAACGGAGGTGTATCTTACATGATTTGAGATTAATTTCCCGAAATGGTTGCGTGCAGGCTGGAAACATCTCTCTACACCTTTTTGTAATCCCACCATGTTTTCTATGTGAGATTATAAGAGACTTCGCGAGACTTTATCCCAATTGGCTGAAGCAACCCACGTGAACGATCTTTTGAATATGTATTAGGCACAAGCTCTCCCTAAGACCACAAGCTGGGTAATTATGAGGATTAAGCCCGTTACGAGGATAGGATGAAAGGAAACCCCTTGTTTCTACTCCTTCTCTTATAACTTCTTGGCCAGCATAATACCCGTCTGTCATCAGAGGTCAGACCAAAGCGACACTCATCAGAAAAATATATAGGACCAATTGTCATGAACTGTCCAGTTCCAGATCCTGTTGACCCTAGTTTACTCTACGTTGCCTGTTTTGTAACGATATAAGAGATTTCAGTCTTGCTACCCTGCTGTACACTCTCTGAGTATGTAACCGACGCCTAGCAATTTTCACAGACACATTCTTATGTGTGAAATTGTTCCANATTACAAATTGTTTGGTGTTCTTTTCTCGAAAAATAGACTTCGTGTCTGGATTAAAACAAGTGTGAAATTGTTCATGCATGTTTTCAATACTATATAAAATTCGAAACACCGAACTTGGTCTCTGAATATTAGAGAACTGTTTTTTATGTTGTTTACACAGACTACATCAATTAAGAGATGTGATCACGTTTTATTGAAACGCAAGATTGAATAATGGTGTGTATCAGCGTAATTGTAAGTTTAGTTTCAATGTCTGTTTCAGATAACGTTTAGTTCACGATTCCAGCGACAGATAACCACAGCTCTGGGATCATGTCCATGAATTCTGCCTTCAACTTGTCCCAAACCACAGACTAATAGAACTCGGCAGCTCCCCACGCTATCTACCAAGGAAATCACTGTCGAAACATGCGGAACGCTTCATTTGCACATACGCTGTACAAAATTTTATTGAAACTGCTGCCATAAATGATAGAGTTGATAATTCAACTTAAATTTCTTAATCCTTCCAAAAGAAATTTCATGGACGTATTATTTGGAATGTTCTTATTTCATCCTCGTCATTAGATTATCTTAGAGCGTAAAAATCTATCCAGGTAATCAGGACCCCTCCCCCCCCGGACATTCCCCCTGTAATGAATATAATAATGAGAATGAAACTGTGATATTGAAAAAAATGAAAAATCCATGCTTTTAATAAAATTCTGTCTTCAGAAAGAGGTGGGTAAGCAAGAAATGTTTTAATGGAACAGATGTATAATATAGATAATTCAAAACCAGAGTATTTTTTCTGGGAAGGTGGGGG